TCATCTTCTGACTTTGATCAGAGATGTGGTCTTTGTTCTCTGAAAGCATAATGAATGTCAATAAGCATTGATATGGTGCTGCTGGGAAGGAAATGAGGCCAGCACTGGTGCTAACTTACCAGGCTGGTGCCCAGCCCAGCCACAAGAAATTACTTGTGTCCTAAGTCATATTACTTGGAGCTGAAGGAGCAGTGTTGGTCCTGCATTCATTTTTACCTTGTCAAATAGCTGACAACATGATGTGGCTAGCTTTAGTGCTGCTTTGCAGGATCTGAATCTGGATGATACCAAGGTGTCTTTAAACCTCATTGGTGTGAGAAACAGGCCACTAGTAGTTTACTGGTGACCTCTACAGAGTATGTTTTCCAGCACTCAGTATTTAGTACTGTGTGCAATAATACAGTCTTAATGTGGAAGAGAATCCATTAGATGAACTGTATAAATGTTTGATGCTCTCAAAGCAGTACAGGGCATTTGGAGGGATGAGATATTAACACTTAACCCAGCAGTGTTCTTGTAGTTTCTCTTGTATGTTAATTGCATGGTGTAGTTAGCAGCACACTGGCAGGAGGCATTCCTTGGGGTGCAGGTATGGGAAGAGATGGTGTACACAGCAAGGAGCCTAGTTATGCCTCCTACAAAGAAAAAAGAAGCTTTGTGCTATCTGCAAGTTCTGTAACTCTTATTGGGGTTGGATGGGTGATCTCTAGGAGACCTTGCTGGTACCTGCACAGTGAAGTCAGCAGAAACTTGTCTGTGGGCTGCCTGTAGCAGACAATTACAAAAAAAAGCACAAAATAGTTGAAAAACTTAAGTGCTTCCTTCATATTTGCTCTTAAATTCAGTGTGCAAAGGGTACTCCTTTTCCCTGATGTTGCATCTTCATAGGGCTTACATTAAGCTTGTGATATTTAAAAATGAGATTTTTCTTTCACTTGCACTTCCAGAAACACCAAGCAGCTGCAGTTTTAGTTGGCCACTGAAACAGCTGCTGGTGCTCCTGATTTCCCCAAACCAGGTAGTTGTGATGCTCATGGCTTTCCAGGAAATGTCTTTCTCCTCATTCCTACCCTTGCTGCTTAAAAAAAACAGGTTTTAGGTTTTGTCAGCTTGAAAGGAGTAAAAGAAATCAGTGTCAGACTACAGAAGTTTCATCTACAGCTAGGCTGGAATAAATACTGAATTTCTAGACAGGTGAAGCTAGGAGGGAGTCCTGCCTGTGTTAATGTTTCCCAAAGAGAGGGAGATTATATTAATACATAAGCATGGAGTCAAGTGCATGGCAAGATCTCTGGGAAGAAAGTCACTGTAGTAATTATTTATAGTGACTGAATCAGGACTCAGTTCAGTGGTTCACAGAAACACTAGGTTTGCATTCTCAGTCAGATAACATAGTATCTAGTAAGACTATTTTTTCTGACATGCATAGATTTTGTTCAAGCTTTGCCTTACCCAAGTAGAAGAAAACTAACAAGCTTGAAGTACAGTCAATAATGAAGGTGCAGGGGAGCAAGGCAGCAAACCAGGAAACAAAGTGACCATGCTGATAGCAGTGCTCTTAAAATATGTATTGTGGTGTAACTTAGAGGTTGAAGTTCTTGTGCAGTAGCTGTAAATGTCTGTAAAGGGCTGAATCTCCTGCCAGGCTGCTGTATTCAAAGTAATGTGAGAGAAGCTGATTCCTTTTCTTGACACTATGACTAGTTTTAAACTGGAGAAGGGGGGAATGGGTTGATGGCTGTTGTCTCCATGTTCCTGGTTATTGAATGTGTTCAGTGGTGTCAAAGAGCCATGGCAAGCAGGTAGCTAAAACTGAGACACCAAAACAGGTTTATTTCTGTTCTGTTTAAGCTCAGAGGAGTCAAACATATGGTGCATGCAGTAAAGCCTGGATGCTTGTAGGTGCATGACTGAGTTGCATCTTAGTCCCCCAGAATTAGCTTGGCTTTTAACTGAGGTAACAAGCTGCCCTAAAACTCTGCCACTCTCTAATACCTACTAGCCTGGCTAAACTTTACAGAAATAGCTTAGATAGCTGATCTGCCCCGTATCAGTGAAATCATACGGGGAAGCCTGTCTGTGAGCTACTGCTTAATTTAAAATACAAGTTTGTTACTAATTCAGCCTTTTTGTCTCTTAAGCATGTTTATAATTGGGCTTCTAATGAAAAAAAAATGAACTGCAATTGTGGTTGTTACTGCTTCTTTGCGAGCAGCCATGCGGCTTGTCTTGGAAATTCTTGAGTTCCTTAGCCCAAACAGAAACTCGAAGAGCAGAGTGGGTTTACATAATTTCCTAATATTTTACTTACAGAAGAGATGCAGTGTAATTTTCTGGGACCTGTTTGTAATGCCCTGGAAAAGCATTTGGTTTCACTTTTCAAATTCTGAATGATATCATCACAGAAACCGGAAAGTGATGTGCTTTTTTTGATTTGGGAAAAATCCCTGCCTGTAATGTGGAGTTTCCTAGCATGTTGACTTTTGACTCTGAAATCAGCTGATAGAGAGGCTTTCCTTGCATTATGCTCCATTACAGCATCTCAAAGTGCTGAACACAGCCTAGTTAGAAAAAGCTTATTATCACCAAGTAACATGACTCTGATTTCTCTATAAACATGCAATGGGTTACAGACAAGTTTAGGTCTTAGCTACTTCCATATGAGAAGAAAGGTTTCTAATTTCTGTCCAGTTGTGTTTTCTGGTGCCAGAGCTCAAGAAACATCCTTCATGTGGCAAAGCAGCAACTTTATTTAATTTGTTGTTATTGCAGGCAGATAGGCATTTTCTTAGAAGGAGTTGTAGCTGCCTAACAGGATGTAGGAGTTTGAAACAGTCTTCCAGGATCTACAGCTTCTGCATGAGTATGGATCACATAAAGACCATAACTGATGCTTCAGTGGTCTTTTTGAGACAAAGCCCTCAGGGTTAGACAATTTGAGACCAGGCAGGTTTTACTGGGAGGAATGAGACCTGCTTCCTCAGCTCCTTGACCACATCTGTGGGATATAAACATGGTAATGCTGGTACAGTACTGGCAGTGCTCTTTTTTTGGTCACCTAGAAACTACCTGAGTAGAAGACTGTAGGTTCTGCCAAGAAATCTTGTAGCTAGCTCAACCCTGAGTTTTGTTGTCTCCTGCATACTTAAGCTTGGTCCTTGTTTTATGTCTTAGATCTCATGAAACTGCACGTACGCACAGGAATGGGATTTTGTGGGAAAACCCCAGTGTTCCAGAGGAGCCTGCAGCTACATGGTGCAAGCACTTGAACTGAAGTGAATCTGCTCTGCCCCTGGTACTGCTCTGCTCTGCTTCCAGAGTGGGGTGGCATGTTATAGAGCCAGGCATGTCCTTGCTGCTGCAGCTGTGGGCTTCTGTAGTGGTGTGGTGACAAGAGGCATTGGCTTGCTCCCCTTGGAGCAGTGCCATTTGTGTAACCGACGTCAGGCTGTGGGCTAGGATTGCTTAGGCAGATGATAAATCTTTTGTTTGTGAGCATGCTGAGGCAAATGACTGCAGGGTGAGGACTTGGTACTGCTGTAACATTCCTACATACAGTCAGTATCACGAGTAGGCTGTAAAGCCATGTGAGCTCCAGAATTTGTTTCACAAAGGTGAACAGTGAAACTTCTTCTCTTGGCTACCTAGCACTCTGGCCATAAAATTTGAGTTGTGAGGCAAAGGCATGTTCTGATCTATAAGTAAAACTGTAGTCAAGTGCTTTTTGGCTCAGTTATGTAGCTGGTTTGGTTGCCTGCATCTGTTTCTGGGAATAAAAATTCCTGTAGTTTGTCCTGTTGAACAAGGTCAGCACCTTATGTCCAAGTGGCGTGGTTAGATGCTGAAGTGGAAGCAGGTGACCTGAGATTCTGCTCTTGCCATGTGCATCTTGCCCTTGGAATCTCTGCTTCCACTGAGTGACACAGGAGCCTCTCTGTGGTGCAGGGG